TTGCACACACCCTCTCCAACATCTGGTATCATTTGTTCTCTTGATCTTAGCCAGTCTGACTGAAGTAAGATAAAATCTTACTGTGGTTTTAATTTGCATTTCCCTAATTACTAGTGATGTTGAACACCTTTTAAGATGCTTCTTGGCCATCATTATTTTTTCTTCTGAGACCTCTGCTCAGTTCCTTGGTCCATCTTTTAATTGGGTTGCTTCTTGTCTTGGTTCTCTATTTTTTGAGTTTTTTATAAATTCTGATTATTAAACCTCTGTCGTATATGTCGCTAGTGAAGATTTTCTCCCATTCTGTGGGTTTTCTGTTTGTTTCCCTGGTTGCCTCCTTTGATGTACAGAAGCTTTTTAGTTTAATGAGGTCCCACTTGTTAATTCTTTCCCTTGTTTCCTGGGCTATTGGTGTCCGGTTTAGAAAGTCCTTTCCTACACCTATATCTTGTAGGTTTTTCCCAATTATGCCTATATCTTGTAGGTTATTTCCAAAGTTTTCTTCTAATAGTTTCAGAGTTTCAGGCTTTACATTGAGGTCTTTGAGCCATTCTGAGTTGACTTTTCTGCAGGGTGAAAGATAGGGGTTTAGTTTCATTCTTCTACAAGTGGAGATCCAGCTTTGCCAGCACCATTGCTGAACATGCTATCTTTCCTCCAGTTAATGTTCTTTGCCCCTTTGTCAAATATCAGGTGACCGAAATTGTATTTACTCATATTTGGGTCTTCAATTTTGTTCCATTGGTCTATGGGTCTATATTTGTGCCAGTACCATGTTGATTTTATGACTAAGCTCTGTAATACAGCTTGAAATCTGGCATAGAAATCCCCCCGGCCTTGCTCGTGATCAGGGTTGTTTTGGCTATTCAAGGTCTTTTGTGCTTCCATACGAATCTTAGGAGAGTTTTTTCCAGTTCTGTGAAAAATGTCATGGGGATTTAGATTGGCATTGCATTGAATCTATATATGACTTTTGGTAGGATGGTCATTTTAACAATATTAATTCTTCCATTCCATGAGCATGGGAGGTCCTTCCATCTTCTGATGTCTTCCTCAATCTCTTTCTTTAATGATTTAAAATTTTTTGTAGATTAATTTTATACCCTGCCACTTTAGTGAAAGTGTTAATCATTTCTATGAGTTTTCTGGTGGAATTTTTGGCATGTCTAAGATACAATATCATATCATCTACAAAAAGGGATAATTTGACCTCTTCTTTTCCTATTAGTATTTATTAATTTCCTTCTCTTGTATTATTGCTCTAGTAAGAGTTTCAAGCACTATATTAAAAGGAGTGGAGATAGTGAAGAGACTTGTCTGGTTCCTGATTTTAATGGGAATGCTTCCTATTTTTCTCCACTTAGAATGATGTTCGCTGTGGGTTTGTTGTATACAACTTTAGTTACCTTGAGGTGTGTTCCCTCCAGTTCAATTCCCTCTAGGACTTTTATCATAAATGCATGTTGAATTTTGTCAAAGGCCTTCTCTGTATCTACTGAGATGACCATGTGGTTCTTTGAGTCCATTTGCATGATTTATGACGTTTATTGACTTACATATATTGAACCATCCCTGCATCTCTGGTATAAAGTCAACTTGATCATGGTGGATGATCTTTTTGATGTGTGTCTGTATACTGTCACACTACCTACTGTGCTAACAAGACACCTATTCCCTTTTATTTAAAAAAATGATATTTTGATGATGATTTATTGAGTCAGTTATTTGCTTTACATAATATGGACATTTTATAAAATTTAGTCTTTGATTCCATTGATATAGATTTCCTCAAATTTCTTTCCTCAGTTCCTTTCAGTGTTGACTTTAGTTTTGTGGTAGAAGTCTTTTATTTCTGTTGCTAAATTCATTGCTTCTTGTGGAATAAATGGGAATAAGATTGCTTTTAGCATGATTTTCTTCAGTGGGATTTATATGTTCTCAATGTTTCATTTTTTAGCTACTTTTAATTTATGAATATTGCTCTCACTAGAATATATTTTGTTAGGATGGTTTGTTAGAAATGAATTCATCAGTTATTTTATTTTATTTTTTATTATCTTATCTTTCTTAGCCAGACCAGAATGTTGAGTGTTCACATCTTCAGGTAGGCACAGGAAGCAGAAAGAAAAACTGAAATGGAATATGGCTTTAAACTCTCAAAGCCCATCCCCAGAAGCATGCTTCCTCCATCATGGCCACACCTCTCGAGCCTCCCAAAACAGTGCCACTACTGTGGAAAAAGTGTTCAAATACTTGGATCATATAGGGGACATTCTCATTCACACAATCACATTCCAGTCCCTAGCCCCCACAGTCTCACGGCCATCTCATAACACAATTTGTATTTAGTCCAAACTTAAAAGTGCCCAATGTGAAAGACTTTGGAAGTCTGGACTAGAAAAGCTCGAAAAGTGGGTGAATGCTGTAAGCAGGGCTTTTTTAGAATCTAAATTTAATGAACTATTTGTTACTATATAGTCATCTCATTGTACATTGGATCTGTATATCATATGTTACAGTTCAAATTTTGTACCTCTTAATCTATGAAAAAAGCCATGAATATTGAGTGATGCAAATCTTGTAATACAGATCTTAAATTGTGAATCTTGTAATATGAGTGATGTTAGGAATCTTTGGTGATGAAATCTAATTATCACATTATCCATATAACTTTAACATCATTTATCATTCTATAGTCATTTAACTAATACTGTTTCTTATAGTTTTTAAAAAGGGGTTATGAGAAAGAGAATCCTTGAAACATAACACATTCTACTTAAAGGTTGACAGGTTTGTAGGTTTACTTACTAAATATTTTATACTAATTTTTCTTTCAGATGCATGTATAATATCAAAAGAAATTATGGACAAGCATAACATAACACTCAGGTGGAAAGAAAGACAAAAGCTTTATTCCCAGTCAGGAGAGATGGTTGAGTTTATATGCAAAACTAGCTATCATCGCCAGCCAAAATCTAATCCATTCCGTACCAAGTGTACTGATGGTCACATCAAGTATCCTACTTGTGTCAAATAATGTCAAAATATTAGCAGAATTTATGTGTGCACCTTTGTTCAGAATTTTTATTATTAATACAAGGCTGTTTTCCTACTGAAGTGTTAACTCATTTTTATTCATAAGTATGAATTTGTATTGATATGTGATGACAAATTTGGAATCTGAGAGACAGTTGCCATGAACTGAAAGACATTGCAATCCAAGCTTATAAACCAAGATGTGATGTGTCCCAGCAAAAAGATCTATGACAAGAAATTAGATGTAATTACTTGAGTGTCTGTCTCTATCCATCACTTTCCCAACTCTCTCAAAACATCCTAAATGGCCTTTGATCTAAGGTTCTGATTCACAATAAATGGAAGACATTGTCTCAGTTTTCAGAATTGTATTATTTCACAAACAACTAAAAATTAACGAATGTACATAATTGCCACTTATTTTTTTTTACTAATAAATAAACCTAAGAAGCATTTTGTGTATGAACTTCTAAATGTTAATTCATCACATTTAAATATTCATGCAATTATTCAATGGAATAAGTCTATTAAGGTACACGATAAAGTGACTATCAGAATACTGACATTAAAATCTATAAGTATCTTAAATAATTCATAAACACACAGCAAGCACACTTTGTGCCCCAAGTTACTAAAGAAAAGAATTTGACAATAAATGTAATAAAATATAAAATCTATATTTGTCTTTGGAGATAATAAGATTAAATATTGCTGTTTATTTCCTTTGATGACACTCTGTTGATGGATGTATGTATTTATAATCTTTATTGTAGACTGTAAATATATGATATGACACTCTGAAATTGGGCAAGCAGTAGCTAGACACAGATCCTACTTGGCATGTGATCACAAGGCTTAACAGGATATACTTAAAAGGCACTGTGTTGCTAAGCTATGATTGGTAGTACATTAGGCATTTGAATATATGTTTATTTATTTATTTGAACTTTTATTGAAATTTTAGTGTTACTAAAATATAGTTTGATGGTATTTAGGTACCCTCCCCTATCTGCGCCTCACCTCACTGTTCCCTGCCAAATTGAACATACTCATACATATATAATACAGCCTACATAGTCTAATTTGTTTTCTCAAATGTCCTTCAGTGTGGGTCCATCCACTGGATGGACACTGTCAGTCCCCCTCCCAGCGGCCATTAATTGCCAAAAGTTTCTTAGGTTGGGTTGGGCTTTCTTACCTACTTCCCCATAACTATGCTTGGATTTTGTCTGGTTTAAGCTTGCATAGGACTTGTGCATGCTGGCACCATTGCTGCAAATTCATATGAGTAACTGACAAGCTGTCTTCTACAATGATCCCTGAGCCTTGGGAGGCAGAAGTTTAAAATGGGTTTCCTGTTCAGGGATAAGGACTCTGCAGCCTTTTGTTCCCTATACAATTTGTGCCAATTGTGTGTTTCTGTATTATTACCATCTGCTGCACCAGGAAACTTCTCTGGTGAGAGCTGAGGAATGCATTCATCCTATGTGTAGGGATTTCAATGAAGATGTGTCACTTGGGTTTAAGCATAACACAGACACTTACTCTATATGTTTGACCAGTTCTGAAACTCTGTAATAGTCTCCATCTCAACTAGTATTCTGAAGCAGCCTAAGCAAGATGGGGCCAAAGCCCATGAGAAGTGATGGTAACAGGATCCTGAATATCTTTTAAAATGACAGTATTTTCAGTTTACCTGCATTGATCAGTATGTGACACCATTATACATAGAGGAGTATCAATATTTATTTTCAGTTTCCAATTTTCTAGTAATTTCATTAATATCATTCATCATTAATATATTTAATATTTTTAAGAGCCATAATAAGTTATTTTAAATCAAGTATATATAAACCTCAAATCAGTATCTATGGAAAATTTTAATGTCTTCATTGGTAGTGACTTTCAGGTAAAACAACATTTAGCTGATTTTTGGTTTAGAATATTTGTTATGGCATTTCATTTTTAAGTTTTAGTTTAATTATTTTTATTTGTGTGTGTTTTGCCTACATATAAGAAGTGATATGTGTAAGTGTACCACATGTATGCAGTACTCACAGAGGCTGGAAGAGGTTGTTGGATCCTATGGAATTGGAGCTAAAGATGGTTGTTAGTCACCATTTGGGTGCTGGGAGCCAATCCTGGGTCATCTGTAAGAGCAACCAGTACCCTTAAGTGTTGTGCCATCTCTTCAGCTCAAAATCGAATTTTAAAAAATTTTGAATATTGGAAATTTCATATAGGATGTCCAACTTTACTATTCAAAAATATGATTATTATTTTTGGATAATCTCATACAATGTATTTTGATCATATTCAATCTCCACTCATACCAACCTACCCTCCCAAACTTCATTTTATTTTTTAATACAGCTTTCTTTTTAAATTATCTTATTTTTGTTTTATGTATGAATGTGTTTGTGCCCGCATGTGTGTAAGTACACTGTGTAGTGCAGTGCTTGCAGAAGCCAGAAAAGGGCATCAGGTCCTCTGGAACTTGAATTACAAATGGTTGCTGTCTACCATGGGGGTACTGGGAATTAAACCCAGGTCCTCTGCAAGAGCAGGCAGTGCTCTTAACCACTGAGCCATCTTTCCAGCACCATGTTTTGTTTTTTGAAATAGCCTATGAAGACTCATATCTATTCCACAAATACTTCTCGCTATAGGGTCCTCCCCTGTGGTATACTTGATCTTCCAGGGAACACCCCTTCCAAAAAGTAACTTTCCCTCTTCCCATAGCTTTTAATGGCTAATAGTTCTTCAGCAAGTCATGGAACTTCATGTTCACCTCTCACTTCCATGCTGGAATTTCTTTTTAAAAATTTATGTGTATGATTGTTTTGCCTGTATGTATGTAAGTGTACTTGTGCATTCGAGACTTGAAGAGAGCAGAAAAAGGGGTCAGATTCCCCTAGAACTGGAGCTACAAACTGTTATTAGACACGATGTGGGTGTTGGCAACTGAACCTGGGTCCTCTCCAAGAGCAGCCAGTGCTCTTAACTGCTGAGCCATCTCTACAGTTCCCAATGTTAAAATTTTGTCTGGCTTGAATTTGCACAGGTCTTGTGCATGCTGTCATGCCTGCTGTGGGTTCCTATGTACAACTGCCCTGCTGTAGCTGGAAAACACTGTTTCATTGTTGTCATCTACCACCTCCGGATCTTACAATCTTTCAACTGCCTCTTCCATGATAATCCCTGAACTTTGGGTGAGGGGTGTTATCAGAGGTGTACTCAGATGAGTGTTCAACAATTTCTTAATCTTTATAATGTTATAAAGAATATAATGTCAATGTGTTTATTCACATTAACAAGTTGTGAGTCTGTGTGATAATTGCTATCTACTGCAAAAAGGAGCTCCTTTGCTAAGAGTTGATAGATACAGTAATCTATAAGGAAAATATCAAGTCATTAGGAATCTTCCTAATGCTATGATCATTTAATAGAAGAAGAGTAGGAGGATCTCCCCTAGGGCCTATGATCTGACTAGTCATGGGTTTTTTGTTTGTTTGTTTGTTTGTTTTTTGACTTTTTGAAACAGGGCCTCCCTGTAGCCCCAGTTGCCTGGAACTCCCTATGTAGACCAGCCTGGCCTGGAACTCACAAAGATCCACCTGTCTCTGCCTCCCAAGTGCTCAGATTAAAGGCGTGTGCCACCACACCCCAATTTAGCCATAGGTGCTTATTCCTGATAATGGTGTCAGATATGGGTTCTGTCTTGTGGGGCAGGCTTAAATCCAATCATAAAATTGTTGGTTGTTCTCAAAACATTCATGCCACTGTTGCACAAGTGGGCATATCTTTCCAGGTCTGTTGTTGTGTAGCTCACAGGGTTTACACCTGTGTGAAACTGATGATAGATTTTCTACTCTGTTAGTGGGCATAGGATGAAACTTCCACTACTATGAAATCTAATTAGTATTGATTAGGCTTCAAGGTTAGTACCAGCTCAATCTTTCCAAGTTCTACAACTGAAGTATGTATTGTCTTCAGCAATAGGGTTTTACTGTAAAGTTCTAGAGTGTAATCAACAGTAATGTCAATTGCCAGTGATGTTTAAGGGTCTATGGGACACCCTGACAAACAACTCCAAAAGAGGGACCCTATTCCCGGCACTGAGCTTTGTACTTTCTAACCTGTGGTGTCTAGTAAAGAGCATTGTCCCCCCATTAAAGGTTACCTCCATCTAAACACAAAAGTGTTTATATAAAAATAGGTATATGTATAAATTTAGGAAGTTGAGACAGTAGTAGGTTTTCATATGACTTTTCAAAATGCATTTAATGCTGGTATCCCTCTTTGTATCTCCTCCTCTAGTTGCACTTCCATACTCACCCAATTTAACTCTTCCTGCTCTATTATTCCCCTTCATATCACTGCATTCTATCTCACCTTCCTTCTTTTTCCATCTTAAATAGCCTTATTTAAATCACTTCTTGTTAAGAACATATTTAAATTTATAAAATTTTAAAGTCTTTAGGATGAAAACATAAGTCCAAATAATGAGGTTAGAGGTTAAATGGAGCTACCCTACTAAAAGGGAATAACACTCCAACTAGATGCTTCATCCCAAGAAATAAGAACCCCAGTTTCAGGAACTGATTACCTTTTTTTTGAGTTCTTGGCCAGTAGGACCTCATTGACTCTCAGACATTAAAGGTTATTGTCATTGCTCTTGGTTACCCCCTAGAACTTACTGGTAAAGCCTTATTATTAAAAAATGGTGAAATCTCATGAGACTGATTGCTACTGTATGAGGGAGTGTATGACTTACATAAGACCACTGGATGTGCTAACTAGACTCCAGTGGACACATTTACACTGAAGGCCATTTGGGTACAAACACCTGAATAAATAAGACTCAGCATGTACGGCAGAGTGCATAGGCTTAGGTGGGGGTATAGGGGGAGGCATGGATAGGGTCTGGATTTGAGTGGGAAATGTTGTATGAAATTTTAAACATTCAATAAAAAATGAAAACAAAACAAAACAAAAAAGCTGAATGAGAAAAAAAGGATGAAATCAGTCGGGTACAGACCTGGAAGCTTCATTCCTACTGGGTCACTTTCATAGTGCTGGAAAGTGTATGCATGCTCCTCGGGGAGAAAAGTAATCATCAGTCTTACCCAGCTGTGCACCTTTTGATCTATACAAATGACTAACTGGAAAGATATGGGAAATGGTACAATAGTGGCATAGATTTTATAGGGATAACCACTAACACTGTGATTGAATTTAAGGTCTGCCCCTCAAAATGGAACCCATACCAAACATGGCTATGGGGGACAAAACCCTGTTGCTAGATAGGTCATGGACACTAGGGGATAACCTCCTATTAATCTTCTACTAAATGGGCATAGGATTAAAATGATTTTTAATGACTTACTTTTATACCCATAGATTTGTGCATCTCTCAACCCGCATCACAGAAGCTTCTTTTAGTAAAATCACAGAGACCC